TTTTTGTGCTGTGTTTGTGGGGGGGGTGTTTTTATTTCTTGTGTGTATTTGATCATTATTTTTGTACTGTCACTTTGAATTTTTTTATTTTTACATTCTTTGTGAAAAAAAATAAAAAATTAAAGCTAATGAGAGGGTATTTTTTTTAAATCAAACACAGGTATAGGTTTATTAAAATAAACTTTCTTAACCCCTAGGAGTCATTTAATAGATATTGCATTCTTAGCCCTCATTCACACGAATACCAGTCAGCCCGTACAGATCCGTGCTTTGTGCACGGCCATATCGGGCCGCTCCCGGGAAGGACAGGTGCTGCTTGTGATTTGTATGCAGCAGCCTCTTCTTGTCTATGGGAGTATGCGGCCATGCGCTCACCCGAGCTGCGTGTCTGTGCTGGTGTCCCTTCTCGGATGCAGACGGGACCCATTCCGTCTGCGTATGAGTACGGACACCCGCACGGACGTGCAGTTCGGGTGATTGTATGGCCGTGTACTCCCATAGAGAAGAACAGGCTGCTGCGTACAATCGCACGCAGCACCTGTCCTTCCCAGGAGCAGCCCTGTACAGCCGTACGGGCCGGCTGTTAGTCATGTGAATGAGGGCTTAAAAGCCACCCAAAACTTCCTTAAGTCTGCTTTCCCCTTTCACTCCAAATAATTTCACTAAAATAGTGAAATTTGGCTGAATTCTCCCAATTTTCACATAAATATCAGGACAATGAAAATGATCAATTTCATCCACAGAGATTAGAGGTCACAGTAGTTGCTGAAATTTGATAAAAAGTCTGACTTTTAATAGCATAAGCACTGATCAACCTGCTTATGCTTCAGGTTTTATGGAGAGGAGTGCATTTAAAAAAAGCTAATGGAGCTAATTAAGCATGAATGCATGCATGCTTTAAAATCTCCCTCTTTCGCTGCCAAGGACGTACGTCGTACGGAGCTACAAAAGTGCTTCCAGCTGGCCAGCTCAGTACGTCGTACGGACCTGGCATTTACAGTTCTACTATAAGCTGATGGTCGCTTTAGCGACCATCAGCTTATAGTAGAACTGTTCAGCAGACTGTCCCCTTTAAATTAATAGCTGTCATCAGCGGCTCACAAGCCGCTGATGACCGCTAATTTTAAAAATACCGGGCGCTCTGGAGCCTCTCATCCCTGCCTGGAGCCTGCCTGGTGCCTGTGACTCCATGGTTCCCCGCTGCTGTCCCCAGCTTGTAGGGGCTGTGTCAACAGGGATAAAAATAAATATCCAGGGTTGGGGGGTGGTGCGCGGAGCAGCAAGCGTCGGCTGGCGGGGAGAAGCCACAAGTTTCAGGATGGCTGAGCGGTGAGGAGAACGGAGCCGCTGTCATCAGTTTCCGGATGACAGCGGCTCTGTGCGAGGCTCTGTGGTACGGAGGATCTGGTTAAGGCAATTTTGAAGAAAAAAAAAAAAATTATCCTGTTTTGATGTAGAGCACTCATTTAAGTTAAATGTCATAT